GAAATATATCTTCATACGGCGATATATATTCTCCAATAAAAACTTCGTCTCGACGGATAATATTGCATGGAAATACACCAAAAATATTAAGAAGTATAAAATCCAAGCTAGAAAAGGAGACAATTTTAAGGTAACTGTTAGTATTTCAGAATAGGTTTGATATTCCTGTGTATGATTACTAAGATTACAATGAAATGGTAAGTCTATGGATTTACTACACTAAAGTCAGGGGTTCTGTTCCCATAGGTGGACACAGCAGATAGCGCGATGTGGCTTTTGCTATAAAAAAAACACACGTACAAGGAAATTGGCTTTGAAAATATATCCATCCACTCTTATCATAGTTTGGGGGAAGGGGTAATATATGGAGCAGAAAAATACAAAGAGTTAATTGAGGGCAGAAGTGGGGGTCACATGCTATAAAATAAACAGGATTTTTTTTTTTTTACATTAAGAAGTGTCAATTTATTCTTTTTGATTATCAAAAAAAGCTGAAACTAATTCAGGCTCTCTTTGTACAATTTCGCAGTGGTTTGATGCTGTTTCAACCCCCATTAAACTCACCCCTAGGTCTCATTTAAGTAGAGATACTTTTTTCGGATCAAGTTGAATATTATGACAACCCTGCCTGTCTAAAAACAGTTTATCTTTTCATGTCAGCGACAGTCACAATGTATGGAAAATTTTTAAATCGCTCCTGATAGCTGATATGGGGAGGGTGTGTGGGGGTAGAGCTCTTCAATGGACTCTGTATGATAATATGAAATATGTATTACGCATCATATTCTTGTAGTTGTTACATATTTAATACAATATTGCTGAATAAATTGTAATGTAATATAGATAAGTATATTATTATTTTTTCATTGTATAAAACGTTACGTGTAGTGTAATATTCTTTAGGGTAATATTAGAAATAAAAGCTTGATTTGGTTGATGGGATTATTCAGTTATTTTAGCTTTAAACTTGTAAATTTCTAAGTTATAATTATCTAACAAATGAATATTCTTAGCAAATGTAAAACTGTTCAAATTTTTTTCCAATTCGTTTCAATTAATGTTGAAATTTGAAGGTGGAGAATAATGTATTTAAAGTACACACATTTTTTGTTAGTAAATTCATCTGAGTAAGCAAGTAATGGAAATTTGGTTGAGTTCATTAATATTTTTTTTTTGCAATCTATAAATTTCATATTACATTAAATATTTGTTTCGATTACAGAATGACTCAGTAGGTGGCGCCAGTATGTTTATAGGAAGCAAGCAATGAAGGTTAATTCGAAACAATTCTTTAAGTCAGTTAGTTATTCATCAATGTTAAGTCTTATGCTATCAGCTGAATTCAATTAATAGTGGGTAGTTATATCTTAAGTCAAACTTAAGATTGTCCACGGAGCCCGAGAAGTGTAGTCAGAGTAGTCGCTGCGCTTCAAGCGACAGGTTTGAAAGAAATTAGTTGTGTTACTGCTCAAGAAAGTTGCAATGTGAATAGGCTCTCTATTCAAATGAACAAAACAAATCATTCCTAGTTTTGGATTATGTATTTAATGATAGTTCATCATATCAACGAAAATTGTTCATCAACAGCTAATTGAACTTTTACATCGTGAAATATACGTTATCAAAATACAGAGAATATAAAATTCACAGTAGTCTTCCCTGTTCTAGCGCCACTGCTGTTTCATGCTTGTGAGAAGTGTATAAAAACCAGTATCAGAAAAAAATGTCTCAAATATGTTATCGCCCATGAAGGTCAGTTTTTACCATGCCTAGGGTTGGCATGGCCTGGTGTTTATCTACGAGTAGCAGGTTTTCTTCACTTAATAGAAACAGCAGTACAACTTTTCGACAAGGTTTTGTCTTTACCAGGTCAGCTCATTTGTATTGAAAACTCTGAAGAAAGTCTGATTTTCGTACGTTCACTTGCAATACAAGCTTTCATATGTTTGAAAGGTTTTATGCCTTCTCGCATAAAACAAGGTTTTTAGATCCTCTAAGAAACTTAGCCTCTGTGTGGGCTCGTGTGAGTTTCTTTTTTAACACTGCATTGTTGCGTAACAGGTTTATTAAACACCTAAGATATTTACATCTTGCAATAGATAGGTTTGCTTGGATATTCGCGTAAAGCGACAAAAGGACTACCTTCGTTAGACGTATCTAGTTTTGAACTGATTGACTACGAGGGAGATATCTAGTCAACAGCACCCACCATCAACTCTTGGGCTATTCTAATCGAATAATGGGATTTAAAATATTTAACCGTCACTCTTATATCGCACTCACAACCCCAAAGTGCGGAGCGCGATATTTTTTTCAGGAAAGTGTCTCGCGAACCACGAACCTTCAGATCCGCTAAACTAACCACTAGACCACTTCTAACAGGAAATTATGGTGTAGATAAACATACTTTTCCTATCCATGAAAATACACTCACACTTCGAATACTACAGAACACGTGCAACCTTTTAGACCGAAAATATATACAAGTTTTGTGGATAAAATGAAATAGCAAAAGAAAATTAACTTTAAACAGTAAGTTGCTATTTTCAAATAATTTTTTTTACTAGCCTCAACTTAACGATTTCTTAGTAGCTAATTATATAATCTACTGTTTTTTTTAATGATATGTTGAAATAGATTTTGTTTTATTTTACAAGTTTGGATCACAATATATGCAGTGCTCGTGATTATTCCACATATTCAAGCTACACCATGCCTTGTTGTGAGCACAAAGCACCTCATTGGTTATCTGGCACAAGGCCAGCCTTATGAAGTCTGTTTCAAAACGTCTGTACACTGGGATGGCGTCCAGTTGCCTAGCGAACGTTCGGTTCAGTACTACTGCAGCGAACTAAAACTGACAGATAGCGTTCGTCTGCTTGTGTTGTGGATAGTGATCTGCTTTAGTCTGCGTATTCATATTTCGCTGATAATATTTTGAGACACTAGCCAATTCACAACAGCCTGCTGTGATTGGTAGGCTTCCATTAGTCTATATAGTCTTCGAGGTAGTACTGAGCAATTATTACTTTTGAAATTAGATTCGATTATCCAATCAATATTTGTAAATAATCCTGATTATCGAATATTCTAGTTAGCTCATTTTTAAAAACAATGACAAAAAATAAATAACGGATGATTTGGTGTCCATTAACTCAATAAATAATACGAGACGTCATACAAGAAAGTTTGTTAAATTTTCACGCAAAGCTATCTGCGCTAGCCGTCCCTAATTTAGGAATGATAAACTAGAGGGAAGACAGCTAATCAACACCACTCACCAACAATTCTTGGGTTACCAATGAATAGCGAGATTTACCGTTAAATCATAACCCCACCCCCTCACGGCTAAAAGAACGAGCATGTTCGGTGATGGGATTTGAGTCCGCGATCCTCAGATTCCGAGTCGAACGCCCTAGCCATCAGGTCATCCCTGGCATCAAACAAAAAAGAACAGTTTTACGAAACCGACATTTGATTTATTAATAAATACATAACAATGGTAATTTGTTATTTTTGCCTTGTTGAATACCTCGAATAAGAATTATAAGTACGAAACAGTTCGTGTGTACATGTATATATGTGTGTGTCTGTATGGTTTATATTTAAATTATCACTCACCTTGAATGCTGACTGACAAGTTTTAGTTTTTTTCTGACTAAAATAGGATGCTCTTCTCCACTTGTGAAAGTATTGTCACGTTATTTGTTTATAACAAACAACTACACGTATGAAATAATTTGATGTGTAATGTGAAGAATGCGTTTCTGTGCTTTCATTGCTTCAAGGCTTCCTCAGAACTACCGATCCCAGAATGTAATCAGTTAATCAGACTCGCTAATGTTGCATGGGATAAAGACAAATGAAACGAGAATACTAAACAAAAGATCACAAATGTAGTTATTTATTATTTCTTATTTTTAGAGCACACTTCAACACTGAGAAGAAACAGAATGTTTAGATGCGGGATAAGATAATAACGAGAGCAACGGCTCCGAGTGCTTCTCTGTGAGTGGACATACAAAAGACGCTCAGTTTCTATGCAATAACGAATCGAAATGTAGGTATTAAGAAATCGTATAAATTCCTTTTCTGTGTTTATCTTAATATTCCGAATTTCTATTAATCGCTTAGCACTACTTAGATGTATGGCCATGGGTGAAGAACAACTTGAAGAACTCTAGAGTGTGTGTGAGGCACTTAATAGTAACAATTACTACAAGATTGTATAAGGCTACTAAATGTGAAACGGATTAGTTGAATAATCAATTGTTTGCATTTCAGGTCACTTGACTGATAATCATATGCCCAATTTGTCCTTAAAATGAACTGAATTCTATAATACTAGAAATTTCGATTATCTTTTAAATTTGTTCAATATACTTCATAAAAATCACATAACCATGGTGTATTATTTGTTATCCGTTTTACTTAGCATAGGAACATAATATATTAGCCTAGCATAGCCATAAGCTGCTAGAAAAGGTCATTTAATACATATAAAACACTTGTTTGGGATTTAAAATAAAACTACACTGAGTTAAAAAACATTAAATTCAGAGCGTACAAAGGATCCAATGAAGAAGGAAAAGTCAATTAGGCAAACATATATATATATTTGGCATAATAGTCCCAGTTACCTAAACAGCCAGCTATTATTAGTGGAGCTTTGTTTTTATGTAGTTTGGAAGTTACATGGATTTTATCTTAAATAAATATAAAAATCTATAAACCATAAGAAGAACAGGCTATATGTGCTCTTTCTACTGCGGGCTATCGAGCCCCAGATTTTCAACACATTTGCCCTGACCAACCAAGGGTCATCAAAGCAGTTGAACAATATTTGTGCTTATACGTAGTAGAAAGCATCTCGTTCTTTCCAGCTGTCGTACAGTCCCGCATATGGTTTTATCTACACCTAGAAACACGTGTGCTCAGGTATCATAAATGATAGATGCGCATTGCATCACGGGAAGGACACGACAGGGAAGTGCCACATCGATTTTTACTGCGCAATCGTGATGCACTAGATTATTTTATATTAAAACACAAGCTACAAGAGCAAAAACTAAAATGAAAGCATCAAATCATTAGGGTTAAATGTTGTTATAATCTACCTAGAGACAGATAGAAGTCACCTTTCAGAAACTAGCTGAAATAATATAAAACAGGAAAAAAGTAATGACAAAATGCTGGACAAAAGAATAATGTATAAGAAGGAAAAGACGTCCTTACAGGGGTTGAAAGAACGTTGTGAAGCAAGACTGTTTTGGGTGAGTGAGACCTATAAATGAAGCTTAAGCTTAAAAGTAATCATAAAAATGATTTAAGATACACATTTACTGACGAGTTTCTTATGTGAACCAAATTTTGTAAAACTGGTATGTGATTTTATTTTTGTTATTTGTCCATAAAAAAAGGAAGTTATTATATATACATATGTGTGTGTGTGTGTATATATATATATGTTTGTGTGAATCTGTGTGTATCTATGGATGCTTATGCAGATATACCTTAAGCATAATGTGGATTATTCTAAGGAAACATTTAGGTTATTCAGGACAAAAATAATATCTGTAGTCTGTGGAATTTTTGTATTGTATGATAGTAGCTTTATCGTTACCATTAAAATGTTTTAATGTTGATGTTAAGTTAAAGACTGGTTTTAATGAGGTTTTGATGTCATAGTTTTAGTAATAAGATAATTTATCTTGGAAAATGAGTTTCTTAAAAAATAAAAAATTAAAAGTTAAAAAAAGTAAATTTTATATATTTTATACAAATTTCAATCGTAGACTTATTACTTTTCAAGAAAAGTGTTTATTTGTTTTATGGTATTCGTAGTTTTATACGAATAATAACTTGTGATGCCATGAAATCGGTTAAATAAAGAAGAGTTTGGAAAAAAGAAAGGATTCGAGTTTTCTTATATATTTTCATCTTGAAGAGAAACCACTTCGAATTATAGTTTATATATATTTATGCAGATTTTTACTCACCTTAGCTTAATCCTGATCTTAGACAAAGCGGTCATTTTCAATCGTTCCTTCCCCAATTACACAGCTATAGCCCTGTACAAGCTATGTTTAGCGTGTCGTAATCACCATTAAGACATATTACTTTGTGGCTATCATCGTCCAGTGCATTTACAATCATCTTTAGTATACAAAAAATCAAAATACAAAATTATTCATAATACTGAGTATTTGTTAGAAGACCGTAATCATTAGAAGCTGGTCAACTGATAAAGAAGAATTCATAAAACAATAACAGAAAACGATTGTAAACCTGAGAAACAGGAGTATCTAGCTCGTTGGTAAAG